AGAACATGGAATAGACATTGCATTAATAAAATAATCTTCACGAATAAACTGTACTAAATAGCAGTGCAGGGCTTGGCACGTAGAAGAGCATCCTTTCTTATAGAACTGTGTGACTAATGTTGATTGGCCCAGTATGAACATTTGCTCAATCGCCATCAGTATAACCAATCAAATTCACTTAAATAGTTTAAACTTAGTGACCACACTTTTAATACTTCAGATACAATTTACGTAGAAAAAATTACATTTAGGTAAAAGAAACCAAAAAAAAAACCAGTAGAGAAAAAAAAGATACTAAATTTCCTACTAAAATATTTCTCCTACTAAAAATGATACTGAAGGACCAAAATCTTACTAAATTTAGTGGGAAAACCACTAACTTGGCAACATTGAACTAACTTAACCTAATCAGAGTTACCAAACGCAACTGCGCTTGCGCTACTACAACTCTCTCATTGGTTGTAAAAGACGATCTTATTTAAAATGCCATATTAAAAGAAAATCCTTATATGAAACGAGTAAATATGCAAATTAGGTAAAGGGAGACAGTTTATTGATATTTGTTTTGAAAAGAAGAAGAGAGCAATAGCGTTACCTGAAGGGAGATAATTTTATGCTATATTTAAGTGGAAAGAGAGAGAAGCAAAAGCGTTACCTGAAGAGAGAGCAATTTATGTTATTTGCTTATAATAGAGAGAGACAGTAAAACTTTACTTTGACTACGATAGTAGTTCTAATAATTTCCATGCAATAAAGGGAGAAAGAAAATATTACCTGGGTCCTCAGAGTTAAGACTCAAAAATAAAGGTTCTATTGTTCATATATATATATATATATATATATATATATATATATACCCTCTAAACGAAATGATAATTTTAAAATCTTCATATTGTAGAATAATTTCGGTTTGTCAAGTACAACAGTTACTTGAATACTTGAAAAATATTTAAGCTAATAAAAAAAAATTCACTCACTGATTGTGAGTGAATATAAAGTGAATTTAGTGTGAACATAGTGAATATATAAGACATAAAGTGAATTTAATGAATATAAAGTGAACTTCGTGAGCATACGCAGTAAGTAATGTTGTTAAAAATAAATATTGTTGTGTTGATTGAATAAAAGGCAAAATTAGAAATTTGTTTGGTTATATTGGAAAAAAGACAAAATTGGTTTGGTTATATTGGAAAAAGGTAAAATTGGAAATTGGTTTGGTTATATTGGAATAAAGGCAAAATTGGAAATTAGATTGGTTATATTCGAATAAAGGAAAAATTGGAAATTGGTTTTGTTATATTCGAATAAAGGAAAAATTGGAAATTGGTTTGGTTATATTGGAATAAAAGCAAAATTGGAAATTGATTTATTTATATTGGACTAAAGGCAAATTTGGAAATATATTTTGCTATATTGGAATAAAGGCAAAATTGGAAATTGGTTGGTTATATTGGAATAAAGGAAAAATTAGAAATTGGTTTGGTTATACTGGAAAAAAGGCAAAATTGGAAATTGGTTTGGTTTTACTGGAAAAAAGATAAAATTGGAAATTGGTTGGTTATATTGGAATAAAGGCAAAATTAGAAATTTGTTTGGTTATATTGGAAAAAAGACAAAATTGGTTTGGTTATATTGGAAAAAAGTAAAATTGGAAATTGGTTTGGTTATATTGGAAAAAAGGCAAAATTGGAAATTGGTTATATTGGAATAAAGGAAAAATTAGAAATTGATTTGGTCATTTTTGAATAAAGGCAAAATTGGAAATTGGTTGGTTATATTGGAATAAAGGAAAAATTAGAAATTGGTTTGGTTATACTGGACAAAGGCAAAATTGGAAATTGGTTTGGTTTTACTGGAAAAAAGATAAAATTGGAAATTGGTTGGTTATATTGGAATAAAGGAAAAATTAGAAATTGGTTTGGTTATACTGGAAAAAAGGCAAAATTGGAAATTAGATTGGTTATATTCGAATAAAGGAAAAATTGGAAATTGGTTTGGTTATACTGGAAAAAAAAATCGGACTGAAATCGAGGGTTCCGTACTCGAAGCGAACTTATTTGGTATAAAAACAAATGTTTAAAAAATATGTGTTGTATGATAACTAATATAAGTGATACGAAGAGGAACAATTTTGTAAAATTCAAGAAAATTGTTCCTCTTCATATCACTTATATTAGTTGTCATACAACACATATTTTTTAAACATTTGTTTTTATACCAAATAAGTTCGCTTCGAGTACGGAACCCTCGATTTCAGTGCGAGTGTAACTCGCACTTGTCCGATTTTTTTTATTTTAGAGTTGTAACGACTGAAGAAATGAACTCAATCATGTTTATTAAATTATTTCTATAATCTACACATAAAAATACGTAAAAATAGAAAATTTGAAGCCCTTTAGAAAAAATTTGTTCCGTTATTGGGAGAAAATTCATGATTTTTTCTAAAATTATCAGTTTTTTCTTGACAGACCCAGAAAAATCAACTCCAATCATCCTCGCTATATTTTTTTGTAATCTACACGTAAAAATACGTCAAAATATATAAATTTGAATAACTTTAGATCAACTTTTTTGCGGAAAAATACATTTTTTTCTTAAATTTATCATTTTTCTTCAAAAATTTGATAAAAATTGATCATCAACTCCAATCGTGCTTACATTTTTTCCCTGTATTTTTCACGCAAAAATACAGTTTTACAGCAAATATGAACAATTTGGGTTGAATATTGTGTGCGCTAGGGAGAATAAATCATTTTTTTCGACATTTTTGATTTTTCCTTGACAACGCTATGTAAATTGATTCGAATCAAGTTCGCTATATTTTTCCTGTAATTTTCACGTAAAAATACGTAAGTGTGCAAAATTTGAGCTCTTTATGTCAAGAGATGTGGCTGCTAGGGGGGGGGTACATAGTCATTTTTAGGTATTTTTCGTAAAAATTCATGGTTTTTCCTTGACAACGCTATGATAATCAACTCCAATCATGCTCGCTATATTTTTTTTGTAATCTACACGTAAAAATACGTTATAATATATAAATTTAATTTCCTTTAAATAAAATTTTGTTCGTTTTTGCTGGAAAAATACATTTTTTTCCTAAAATTGTCATTTTTTTTTTAAAAACTTGATAAAAAGTTAATCATCAACTCTAATCGTGACCGCTTTTTTTCCCCTGTAGTTTTCCCGTAAAAATACATTTGTATACTAAATATAAACTGTCTGTGTTGAATATTGTGTGCGCTAGGGAGAATAAATCATTTTTTTCGAAATTTTTGATTTTTCCTTGACAACGCTATGTAAATTGATCGGAATCGAGTTCGCTATATTTTTCCTGTAATTTTCACGTAAAAATACGTAAGTATACCAAATTTGAGCTTTTTATGTCAAAAGATGTGGCCGCTAGGGGGGGGTACATAGTCATTTTTAGGCATTTTTCGTAAAAATTCATGGTTTTTCCTTGACAACGCTATGATAATCAATTCCAATCAAGTTCGCTATATTTTGCCTATAATCTACACGCGAAAATACATATGTGTACTAATTTTCAGCTCTCTAGATAAATTTGTGTGGCCGCTAGGGGGGGGTACACGATTTCAAAAAAACCGATATTAATAGGGTTCCGAACCGAGTACGGAACCCTAAAAAGGAAAAATTGGAAATTGGTTTGGTTATACTGGAAAAAAGATAAAATTGGAAATTGTTTTGGTTATTTTGGATTAAAGGCAAAATTGGAAATTGATTTGGTCATTTTTTAATAAAGGCAAAATTGGAAATTGGTTGGTTTATATTGGATTAAAGGAAAAATTGGAAATGGATTTGGTCATATCGGAATACAGGCAAAATTTGAAATTGATCTTCTAAATTTCAATTTCGTTATATCTGTAAATTTTTTAAATAAAAAAAGCAATGACAAACAAAGGAGAAATTGTTAATTTGAGTGATAATGATTTAAGTATTGTAATTACTGAAGGACAAATGTTAAATAATGATCATATGTTTGAATTTCAAAAGTTATTGGGAAGAGAATCAAATTTATTTTATAATATGCAAAATACTTTATTTTTACAAGCACTTGATATGATATATCCAATCGAGATAAATAAGCAGCACATTCAAATACTTTTTAGTGGTTCTCATAAATGTGTCATTGGATTTGTACTTACTATGATGGAAAAAGCCTTTACATTTTTGATAGTCTTAACAAAAAATGTTTAAATGAAGATCAGAAAAAATTTTTAATTAGATTATATCCTTTTAAACCACCAGTAATTTTCACAATTGTTGATCAACAACCAGAAAATAGTCTTGCTTGTGGAATATATGCAATAGCATTCGGAACATCGCTATATTTTAATATTATGCCCCATTCTGTCAATTACTATTATTGTAATATGAGAAATCATTTAATGTTAATGTTCAAAAACAATCATTTAAGGAATTTTCCATCTGTTCAAGTTCTTAATAGTAGATCTTGCAGAGTTGAATATGACTGGAATTGTCTTTTAACAGAAAAAGATAAACAACTACAGTGTAGAGAATCTTGCCCGATAATTATGAAAAAGATAAATGAAGCAAATATTGCATCAACAACACTAAAAAAAAGTAGAGCTGAAATTCAAAAAAATTATCGTGAGAGGCAAAAATTAAAACGTAAAATTGATAATTTTAATTGTTTATATGAAGGAGACTGTTCGACAAAAGAAAAACTTCATGCCATATCCAAAAAAGAAGAAAATATTGCATCAACAACAGTTAAAAAAAGTAGAGCTGAGATTCAAAAAAGTTATCGTGAGAGGCAAAACTTAAAACGTAAAAAAGATACATCAAATTATTTAGATGAAGAAGACTCTTCAACAAAAAATAAACTCCATGCCGAATATGAAAAAAAACAACTTCAGTATGATACAAATTCTTCTCATGTAAACTTAAAGAAAATTAATAAAGAAAGAGAAATAAAAAATTAGCAAATAACACAATTAAAATCTAAATTAAATAAGTAAATGAAGAAAGTAAATGATGTAAATTCTAATTTGATTCTTTCTACTCCATCAATATCAAATGCAGATTTAAATGATAATATGCCACTGTATAGTGATTCAACTTCAAACATTAAAGTTCAGTCAAAAGAGGGACTCTTTTTAAAAAATATAGATGTTTTTATTTGGGATGAAGCACCAATGGCTCCAAAATATGCCTCAGAAATTATGGATTATCTATTAAGAGATATAATGAAATCAAATGTTGCTTTTGGTGGTAAAATTGTAATTCTAGGAGGAGATTTTAGACAAACTTTGCCAATTAAAGAACGAGGCACTAGATCAGAAATAGTAAATTTATCCATAAAGAACAGTAAACTATGGAAACATTTCAAAAAATACACTTTAACAGAAAATATGAGAGCCTTACCACAGGAGACGGAATTTGTAGATTTTCTACTCAAAGTGGGCAATGGTGAATTAAATGATGTAGATGATAATGTTAAATTACCAGAACATATTATTCAACATGGAAATGTAGATATTGCTGAAGAAATGTATGGTCATTTGATACAACAGAATAAATTTAGAGAGTTGGCAGTGTGTGCAATTTTAGCACCTAGAAACGTTGACGTTGATGATATTAATAAGAGAGTGGTGCGTCTCTTAGACAGTAATGGGGAAACAATGTATAAAAGTATTGATTCTACTGAAAATTGTGATAATGGAAGTTTTGCGGAAGTCTTGTTACCAGAATATTTAAATACTCTCTCTCCGCCTGCTTTACCACCACATGAATTACATTTGAGAATTAATTCAGTTGTAATGCTAATTAGAAACCTTAGTATTAATGAAGGTTTATGTAATGGAACAAGGTTAATTATTTTAGATTTATCACATAATGTTATTAAATGTCAAATATTGACTGGAGATAAGAGTGGAAATATTGTTTTTTTACATAGAGTAACTCTATATTGTGAAAATTTATATCCATTTACTTTTAAAAGAAGACAATTTCCTATAAAATTGGCTTTCGCAATGACTATATCAATAAATCTCAAGGGCAAACATTCAACAGAATATCCATTGATTTGAGAAGAGATGTCTTCAATCACGGTCAGATGTATGTTGCATTATGAAGAGTTAAATCATTTGATTCTGTAAAAATATATTTAGGAGATAATAGAAGTAATAAATATATAAAAAATTATGTATATAGTGAAATTTTTGAATAATTTTAATTCTGTTTAGTGTAATATATCTTTATGTATTTATGGTTTTTAATATACAACATTACATTAAAGGGTACGATCAGTATGAAATTTTTTAAATATTCGAAAATATCCTCTCCTAACCATGCCAAAAGATTTGACTTGATTGGATTGAAAAGATTAGTCTCCAAATGTGAATCAGTTCAATAAATGTTTTTACGGATGTTTTTAATAGTAAACAATATTACTGTTTTATAACATTGAAGGAGAAAATAAAAATGGCAAAAATATATAGCATAAATTTATTTCTTGGATTATCTTAATTAACATATTTCATTAAAGGAATGAAATTATTTCAAATGTAATATATTGGAATAAAGGTAGAATTGCAAATTGGTTTGGTTATATTGGATTAAAGGCAAAATTGGAAATTGATTTGGTCATTTTGGAATAAAAGCAAAATTGGAAATTGGTTTGGTTATATTGGATTAAAGGCAAAATTGGAAATTGGTTTTGTTATATTGGAATAAAGGCTAAATTGGAAATTGGTTTGGTTATATTGGAATAAAAGCAAAATTGGAAATTGATTTATTTATATTGGACTAAAGGCAAATTTGGAAATATATTTTGCTATATTGGAATAAAGGCAGAATTGGAAATTGTTTTGGTTATATTGGATTAAAGGCAAAATTGGAAATTGGTTTAGTTATATTGGAATTAAAGCAAAATTGGTTTAATTATATTGGAATAAAGGCAAATTTGGAAATATATATAAGGTTATAGTGTAAAGTAAAGTTCAGTACAGTACAGTACTTTTTCCGTCAAATAGTTTGGAACTTCGTGACAGTGAAGTTGAAGTAATTCTAAGCAAAAGCTCTCTGGGTCACAACCCCAATTTCCGGGCCAGCTTACCCGCTAGAAGCTTTTGAAGGTTAAAAGAAGAGAGTTATTTCTTCCTACCGTTCTACCTAAAAAATTCAATATTTTCCTTACTTCTTTGTAAGTACGAACTTTGAAGTACTAAAAATAATAGTGTAGTTTTTAGTGTAGTGTAGTGCACTGTAGTGCAATGCAGTATAGTACAATAAAGTACAATTTACTATAGTCTGTCATAGTGCAGTGCAGTGCAGTAAAGTATGGTAAACTGAAGTACAGTATAGTATAGTACAGTAAAGTATATTATAGTACAGTATAGTATAGTATGGCACAGTACAGTATACAACAGTATAGTATAGTACAGTACTATCCTATATTATACTATACTACACTATAACAGACTATACTATAGTATAGTATAGTAGAGTACAGTAAATTACAGTATAGTAGAGTACAGTACAATATAGTATAGTGCAGTATAGTATAGTACAGTAAAGTATAATATAGGATAGTACTGTACTATACTATACTGTAGTATACTGTACTGTACCATACTATACTGTACTATACTATACTTTACTGTACTATACTATACTGTACTTTAGTTTACCATACTTTACTTTACTGCACTGCACTGCACTATGACAGAATATAGTAGACTGTACTTTATTGTACTATACTGCATTGCACTACAGTGCACTACACTACACTAAAAACTACACTATTATTTTTAGTACTTCAAAGTTCGTACTTACAAAGAAGTAAGGAAAATATTGAATTTTTTAGGTAGAACGGTAGGAAGAAATAACTCTCTTCTTTTAACCTTAAAAGCTTCTAGCGGGTAAGCTGGCCCGGAAATTGGGGTTGTGACCCAGAGAGCTTTTGCTTAGAATTACTTCAACTTCACTGTCACAAAGTTCCAAACTATTTGACGGAAAAGGGATTTTTAATGTATTTTGTGCAGGGTCCTGTAATCTTTTATACTGTTACGACGTAAAAAAATTAAAAAAATATTAAACTGTGATAAGAAATGCAAACTATTTGATTTTATAAAATCAAATTGAATAATATTAATGTTCTATTCTATATTATCGTCTTAGAATAAAACTTTTAACTTATATATAAAACATTAATTTTAATATATTTCCAAATGACTAAAAATTATATGTGAGTCTTATAATAATTAAATGTTATTCAGTTTGATAGTCAAAAGTACTTAATAATTGAATGAATTTTATTATTCTGATTGTTAAATAAAAATATAAAAATTAATGTAAAAGCAAATGTAATTTTATTGATAAATAATTGTTAAATTAATAGATGGGTAAATAGTTATTGTTTTCATTGGAATTTTGTATTAACACAGGAAAAACTAGAAACTGTACACATCTGCTGACGTAGCTATGTATACGGCGTAGCGAATTTTTTTAGTTTATGAATATTTTTATTAGTTTTTGACGAATCGTTTTCAAACGTTCCAAAAAACTTCCTTTTATACTAATAAACTAATCTCTCACTGCAAGTTTTCTCAATTTTAAAGTTCCCCGCAGACTTTTTATCTGCAAAAGTAAGAAAACAGAATTTCTGACAAGTCTTAATTAATAAAGGAAAATTGTTAAACAATTGATCATTTTTAAGTTTTTTATTTCATTTTTGCCTTCTTTAAAACCAACTGCTTTTCTATACGATATATCAATCGAATCCTTTAATAATTACCAAAGATATGATGGTTTATGTTTTAAAATTTAATTAATTTTATGAATTTAAAATTTTCAGTTTGTAGTTATTATCTTCTAAAATATTTGTTTTACAACAAAAAATTAAAGAACAAAAAGATGCGCCATTCAATTTCCTATAAGAAAGTATGTTTCCAAAATTAAAATTATTTTTTTTTTAAATTATCGATATTATATCTTGCGAATCTAAGGTAGGAAAAAATTTTGGTATTACCTTTGCATTACCATGTAATATTACTGTAAGATAACTGTAAAATATTATTTTATATAATACAGAATTTATATAGTTTTATAATTATATAAAAATTAATATATTAATCAATAAAATTGATATGATTAATTCTATATATTAATACAAATATAAGAATCCACGTGAGAAGATTTCCTAAAAATTTTCAGAAATAAATTTTTTGACGGAAATGCTTTGGAAATTAATTTTTTGACAGAAATTCTTCTACAAAATTTTCGGTATTTAGTGATGCTCGAGAAAATGATAGTTCTGAATATTTATTCAATTTCATTTTGCCTTTTCTGCAGTGAAATTGAAGATAAATATTAACCTTTTTGTAAGTTACTGATGGTTAAGTTTGTCATGGATGGTAAATACATTATTATGCAATTAAAAAGATCATAGAAATTCCATGTATCTATTGGATTCCAAAAAATCTTTATTATATATGAATATAAATTACGACATTTTTTCAAAATTGAAAAATATTATAATTAAATGGACACAAGCGAATAAGTGGAACAAATTTTTATTTTCGTTTATTGAATCTTTTGTTTTCAAAATTCATAGAACTGGATGTTTAGAATTAGAAGAAATATACTTGAACATTTTTGATGATAAATAATAGAAATTGTTGAAATGTTTCATTATTAAAATGTGAAATGTTGTTTGTTTAAAATGATACCTTAATATAACCAAAATTAGAACACAAACATTAATTTTTTTATAAATTTCAAATGTTTAAGGAATACTGCTTTAATAAATATTAAAATCCTATATGAAACGAGTTTAATTTTTCGGGTTTTTAATATTATAATAATAATGTTCTTTGAAAGTTATAATTGATTTTTTATAGACATTTTCAATTATGAATATATCAAATAAATATCAACCCAAGAAAACGTAGAAATGCATTGCAGTAACAGCAGAGCAATTTTTTTGAAATTATATTACAAAAAGAAAATTCTAAAAATTTAATTCTAACATTACAATAATGTTAGAAGCTCTTTAATTTTCAAATAATTCTATTTTAAATAATAAAAACAAGGGCGCGCGTAGCGCGCAAGTATTAGTGACTAGTATTTAGAAAACTAATAAAAAAAAATTACAAGAGTTAAATTCATTGTTTTTATGTTTAATTATAATACTTTTCTTAATCAACAAATTTTTTTTAATATTAATTAAAAATTTTTGAATTTAATTTCTAAATAATAATAATAATAAGTAAACATACCTAACTAAATCTAACCTAACCTGACCATTCCTAACCTAAAAGTTATGTTTGTTTACTTCTATAAATATAGTACAAATAAAACAAACTTTATGAAATAAAGTTTTCTTCACTCCAATGTGTAAATAAATAATCCCAGATAGCACGTAAGCTTGTAGCAACTTTGCGGCAAGCTTACTGCAAGCTTTAAATGTCCCACCTGACCGAAAACTTGCATGTAAAGCTTACCGAAAGATTGCAGTGTAAGATTACTGCAAGATTGCATAATAAGATTTTCGCAAGAAAGCTCAGTAAGCTTGCACGGTAAGCTTTTAGCAAGGTTGGTGCAAAATTGCCAAATAACCTTGCTTTGAACCTAAAAATTTTTTTTTTTAATATTTCGTCAAATTTACATAATTTGGTTATATAAATTTTATTGTACAAATTAGACGAAAATTTGAAAAAAAATTTTTTAGATTCTAAGCAAGGTTATTTGGCAACCTTGCACCAACCTTGCTACAAGCTTACTGAGCAATCTTACGATATTCTTATTGTGCAACTCTTGTAGTAACATTACACTGCAATCACACGGTAAGCTTACCATGCAAGCTTGGCTCAGGTGGGACATTTGAGTGTTGCAGTAAGCTTGCGTCAAGTTTTCCATGCAAAGTTGGCAATATTGCGCGGCAAGGTTGCTGCAAGCTTACGTGCTATCTGAGATCTATAGAATAATTTTAGATCCTAAATAATGATAGAAAAAAAAATTGTCGCGTGAATCGTAAATTTAAATTTTTTTTAAATTTTATTCAATCCTTTTGAAAATGCCTACTCGG